GGGGAAACATTAGATAACTGACATTTGTGAGTGTGTGTTGGTTTCCTGTGCTGCTCTGACATTTTCAATAAATTATGTGAAGGTTTCTGTGTTTTGCACCTTTCAGTGCTTGTGTGTAATCCACTGGGTCTTAAAAAGTCACAAATTTAAAAACCCAAAGTCTTAACTTTAATTATATCCGCTGTTCTAGGTAAATAATTTTTCACTGGTCTTGATTTTCCAACATGCGTACTTCAGATCAAGTGTGCCTGAGACTGATTTACCAGCATGCACTGCGTGAGCCACCACATTTGGGTGTTAAGCAAAGATGGCTGCCTTAGCAACCACAAATAAAGTAATTTTTGTGATTTACTAAGATTTTAAAATTCCGAACACAATTCATATACGATTTTTTTTCCATCTGCTCACAATTCTTCAAGCTGCAGATATTGTTTACATTTTTATATAGCATATAGAGGTTTATATTTTATAGTTAATTGGCAGTTTGTTAGATGAGTATGATATAGTTGGTGTATAAATATATGGTGTAGGTGTATGGTATAGGTGTTTCTTGGCGTGTCTTGAAAGTCTTAAATTTGACATTGTGAAACTGCCAGAAGCCCTGTTAATGTTCTGTGGTTTTCATTACGGGGTATTTATTAATTATATTTATGTTAAAAGGTGTCTGGTGTTTCCTGTCTTTGCTGTAGTTCATAACTATTAAAAATAGTGTCCGGTACAGAGACTTGTTTTTCCATCAAATTCGTTGATAACAACTTCACCTTGGGACTCGAATCCATCGATTACTTTTTTACATTAAATATTATGTTTTTAGTATATTTTTACTAAATAAAACTATAAATAATTAAATTAAAAACAAACCAGCTAATCAACGGCCCCGCCTCCTGTTAATCAATGAGCGCTGGTGTGACGTCAGACGCAGTGCGCATGCGTGCTCGTGTATGTTTGTTGTGCGGCAGCGGCGGCGCATGATCCACATTCTCTAATCGCTACGCCTTCACAGAACTATAGAAACATTCGGCGATGGAGGCATACAGGCACGCTCCCAAACGTCAAAGGGTCTCCGATATGGAGGACGAAGAGAATCCACAAGAGCCAGGGGAACAGGAAGAGGGAGAGAAGCGAGGGATGATGGCGGAGGAGGAAGAGGAGCAGGAAAGAGAGGAAGAGCGCAGGAGCGAGCGCCAGAGAACTACCGCAGGGGAGAAGGTCAGACAACAACAATCTGTCATAGAAATCTAAAATGTCCATTGTGATCTTATAAAGGGCCCCATCTTCATTATTATTTGCCATAATCAATATCTCCTTCTGGATGTTCCTTCAGAGAAGTTATTGTAGCTTGTGTTTTTATTCATCAATACTGACATTCATCAATGTTTGGTTAAGAAATGTGCAGAGGTATCCAAAATATACAATTAATTGAAGAATGCTGCTTTTATTTTTTCTAATTTTTTCCTCAAACATTGTGATCTGTTCTCTGTATTGCTATAGATTATAATTATAGAGTTATTTGTAGAGTGCTGCATGTCTACTTGTTATAAACAAGTAGACATGACTTCTTGAGGTCAGAGTATTACTTTTGTCTGTTCATGACTCAGAATTCCCAATTAAGGTCCTTTGTATGCAACAGCCAAATATTGTTTGTATTTGGCGTTTGAGATCCTAATGGATACTATTGTCTATTAAGGAACCACGTGAGGCAGACAAACCCATTTGCTTTCACACATAACTTTAGTTTGATTCAATTTCCAAATAGAGTCCCTTTTAGTTTGATTTGTTTGGTCAGGCAAGAAAGCAACAAACTATAAGTTGGATCCAAAAAGACGAATCCAAACAAAAATCCTAGAGTGATGAGAACATGATCGAACTCTGGTCAGAGCTAAAAAAACAACTGAAGACGACAACATACAGCCAACGTATTCCCTTGCGCATGGGATTATGGGTTGGATTGTGTCGCTTTCTCACATCCTTCTGTCTCTTCATTTAATCCCATCACTTCCAGTACTTTTTGTTCCTCGAAGTGGCAAATGATTGATATTGTACAGTTTTCGTTTGCCTCAGCAGTCTGAGATTATTATGCAATCTTTTTGCCTTTTTTCAACGTTGGAGTAATGACTTTTTGCCTGTAACCTTTCCACCACTTCTGGCTGGACACATGCCTATGCCTTGGAGACACTGGTTCATGCTTCTTTTGAGCTTATGGCACTGCTGGACATCGTCTGATTCAAAGGGTAGTACGATGTCTTTCATCTGCCACACTAAGACCACTACGATCCACAACGTTGGCTATAGATCTGGGAAACGCCAGTCTGGGAGAGACCTTGTTGATGCCATGTAACTATCTTGTGTCTGCTGTTTGTACACACCAACTCTTGGGTAAATATGTAAGTTCTAGCATAAATCCCTTTTTAGAAGTTGAGAAGCTTTAGCCATTCTGTTATTTCATCTTTGCTGCAGAGTAGAGCTGAATATTTCTGGCCGAACAAGTCAAGATTGGACTTTTGATTTGTTTTTACCTTTATGCAAATTAATATTGAGTAGGGGATGGCTGAATGCTGAGGAAAGGAGGGGATGCTGCAGTAAATCTGACGTTTTCAGATGTTGATCATGCATTTGTTTGTCACTCATTGCCCAATGCCCAGATAGTCTAGAAGTGTGAACAACTCTTACCTCATTAGTGAAAGAGGAACTTTTGAAGGCGTAGAAGAGGAACATAGGAACTTTCTCTTCTCGCTTTATAATGATAGTTAAAGTACGAGTTTTATTTACTTTCCTAGAGATGCACATCCCACATTTCTCTCTTTCCTGAGGAATCTTTGGAATGTTTAGCACAAACTGCTCTTCTTTACGCAAATCTTATCTTTAGTGCTGCTACCTTTTCCAGTCACCAAATAATGACTGAAATTGAAGTTTTGACCATGACCCACTACATCCTCACTGGGTTGTCGTTGCCCATCACTTCTGTGTTACTTGTTTTTTTTTCTCTGTGAGGCCTCTTCACAACCTTCCATCCACAGAACTGTTGGTTTGATCACAATGATCTTCTTTTCACACCATAGAACCCTTCAGTCAAGGCATTTTTTACTTACCTAGGGGACGTGAACCAAAAACGGAAAACTCACTGAGTGTCAGCTACAAACAAGGGTCCATCGTAATTTGTGTAACGCCACCACTCAGTTTGGTGTGGCGCAGCTCTTCTCACCACAGTTTCCTCTGACTTCATCAGATCTGAGTGGGCTTGTTTTACAGAAAGAAGAATAAGATATTTGTGTGTTAAATGGTGATTTGTAACCATGATAATATTAACAGTAAGTGACTAATACCGAGACTATTCTTTCTGGCCAAGGATGTTGTCATTTGTCATGTGCTTGTCTTTGCAATCAGAGGAAAAGTAAAAGGCTGCATCTACCAATGGTAAATGGGATGATCTGACCTCATTCTGACCTCAGCGTTTTATAAACTTCACCGTCTGCTCCCTGCCCTCTACAACAAAATTACATGTACCAACAGTAGGGGTGTAACGCTACGCTAAAATCGTATTCGGTTCGGTACAGTGTCTTGAGGAGCTCGGTTCGGTTAATTTTCGGTACAAAACAATAAGAACGTACAAAATCTTTATTTTGAAAAGCTGCCAATACACAATAGAATTCTTGCATAAAATATATAAAAGTGAAACATTTGGGGGATATTTTAAATAAATTGCGTTCTTTATAAAGAAATGCAATTTTTTTTAAATTAAAAATTAAATACTGCAACTAGTTTAGACCTGAAAACACTAGCAACAGCTTCAGCTTATATATCAACAAAACTAACGATTCAAGTTTTAAGTTTTTGGCTAAAAAGATTAAACTATCCACATTTTCTGAAGAGAGCACAGATCTGGTTGCAGTGACAATATCTCCAGCAGTAGAAAATGTTAGATGTGTTGCCTGCCCGATCTCCGTGGAACAATGTCGACATACAACTTTAAATCTATCCACTTGTCTATCCCGTTATGTATTTTAACAGAGAAGCCAAAGTGTTCTCAAACACGAGACCGTAGTGAGGTGGGAGGGTCTTCAAGCTCTGGTTTCTCTTTCGCTGTTGCCATTTCTCAGTTACTTGTGCAGCTCTACTGTGCGTCACTCAATAGCGTCCGTGCGGAAACTCGCCTAGGAACAATGTTCCGCTGCGCTTAATATTGCCCTAATAATAAATTTGTATTATTTAATTAAAAAAATATGCCGAGACGGTACGCAAGTGTACCGAACCGAACAGGCGGCACCGAAACGGTTCAATACATCCCCGTGAACCGTTACACCCCTAACCAACAGTTAGCATACATCGGATCACATTCAGGTGGTTACGTGTTTTTGAAATTAAACTATGGTTCTACTAGCATTCAAAGAATCCTGTAAACTCCTGTCCTTAAATAAAAATGCCTTGTACTATTTTGTGTTGAAAAGAAGTGTGCAAAGTATCTTGAGATATGTAAGGGCAAGCGAAATGGCTGCAATGCATCCTACCAAAGGGGACTCATTTGAAATACGCTTCGATTTTTGGCGAAATGGGACCATCTTTGTGTAGCGTTGCGACGTAAGCAATTTTGATATCCGCACTTTGAATGATGCAGGATTGGGACACAGCTTCTGTAGGCTATAACGACAATAAAAAGTTGTATAAAGTGTTGAAAAGGAATCAAATAAACCGTACGATTGTTTGAGTTTGAACCCCACGATTTGACGTCTTTCCCATGTCAATCCTAAATTTCCACTTGTCTAAATTGGTATCCGTAGATAAAAAGGTGCAATAAGAAATATTTTTGAAAGCAGCTTATTTTTTTTAACTCCAATTAACACGGTTAAAATACAAACATGTTCTTGTCACTTGAGTGAGCATGGATTATAATGATATCTGTTCATTTGCGACCCTTTGCTAATATTTACATTTATGCATTTAGCAGATGCTTTTATCCAAAGTGACTTACATTTGAAAGAATTAACCCTTTTTTTGTAATTTCCTGCTTTTCCTGGGATTTGATCCCACGACCTTTGCGTTGTTGGCACATTGCTCTGCCAACTGATCCACAGGAAAGCTTTGGATTACCTGGAAGAAAACACACACTCACTTTTAATATCAAATTTCCTTTCAAGAATGCTTCAAGAGATTTCCTCAATGTCAATCAACAGTTACATTATTAGTAAAATGTGATGACTCTTTAAGAATGTTTCGTTCTTAGTGGTCACTTTGAAAACGTTGGGTAAAATGTTGGCATTGTTGGGCGGACGGGGCGAGTTCTACTTTTCTCAGACAATTTTTTTTTCCCCCAGAAAGGTCTTATATCTAAAAAAAACCGTAAATACTTTTTTCCGTGAATGAACCCTTTAAAACACCTTTGACCGCGGTGATTTGGTGTCAAATTACTGCTGTGTTGAGATTGAATAAAAGAGAGTGAGAATTGCAGTAGTACAATCGTGCAAAGATAAAACCGTGGGGGATTCTATCGAGAGCTTTAAGTGATAAAATAAATGCTTCTCACCCATGGCTTTTCTGTTTGATAAAGATCAGCTAGGTTTGCATTCATGGCTACAGCGAAAATGGTGAAACGTTTCCTCTATTCAGTTTGAGGAGATGAATTGATTACCAAATGTGACGCGTCTTAAACAAGCTGTGTGCTTTTCAACGACCGGAATCTGTGAAAATGATCTAATAAAAGTCTTTCTCTGTCCTGTAGAGTGATTCTGATTCACGGCGCATGGCGCGTTCACCGGTGGTTCATGTCAGGAATGTGGCGGAGTCGGTGGTAGAAGCTGATCTGGTGCAGGCGCTGCAACGCTTCGGGAAGATCTGGTGAGTGCTGTGTTTTATCTCAAAATAGCTTTAGAGCACATCCCAACCACAGAAGAAGAGCTGTGCTTCACTGCTGGAGACTGTTGAGCATCCAGTGACACCTGCACTTACTCTTGCAGTTACGTACTGATGATGCCGTTCAAGCACCAGGCACTGGTGGAGTTCTCGGAGGTGTCTGAAGCAGACCGCTGTGTGTCGGGAGGATCGACTGTGTATGTCTGTGGTGTACCGGTTTTCTTCAACTACTCCAGCAGCCAGAGGATCAACCGTCCCACAAACACAGAGGATCCTCACAGTGGCAACAAAGTGCTGCTCCTGTCCATACACAACCCGCTGTACCCCATCACCACGGTAACCGAACTGGCTCTGCTTCAAAACACTGGTTCATTAATGGCATGACTGCAGATTAATACAAATATTAATCTAGTGCGTCATAATAAGAGCTCCCTTACAGTAGCTGAATGTGGAAGATGTAGATATAGACACTGGTAAATATAGATACAAGTTGGTCTGTAGATGTAGATCTGACGATAATGATACGGGTAGCCGTAGCAACAGATACAGCATGATCTATAGATCAAAAATAGGTACAGGTAGATCTGAAGATATTGATACAGGTCGCCATAGAGACAGATACTGGAAGATCTATAGATACAAGTTGATCAGAAGAATAGAGATCAATAGATGAAGATACTTAATTAACGCGTTCCAGGGCGTTCCAAGTTTAATGCCTAATCTGTGCAGAAACAATGGATTAAACCAGAGAAAAATCAAGTAACTTTTCTTCAATCCTTAAATCTCCACATTGTTAATGTTTTTTTCTCTTTCTGTGTTGTCCAGGATATCCTGTACAATGTGTGTAACCCAATTGCAACCGTGCTGCGTATCGTCATCTTCAAGAAGAGTGGAATCCAGGCCATGGTTGAATATCCTTTCAGAGAAAAAGAGAGATGTTTTTAGAACATCAAACCTAGATTTTTGCAGAGCAAACAAGAAGCTGAAAAGCCAGGATGTGGGCAGAGATCTCAATTTAAGATGGTGTTCTCAGCTCTTCCTATTTGAGTGGTCCCTTGTGGCCAGTCGAAGAATTGCAGTTTCTGTCTCTATCGTTCGTATTTCCTGTAATATATATTTTTTTTTATCCTTGATTAAAATAATGAAGACTTATTTAAAAAAAAAACATGCAGACATAGCTAGGCTAGGCTGGGCTATGCACATAGAACCTGGAGTTGGCTTGTAAAAGTGGCATTTAAAAGTATTTTTTTATAAGCAAATTGGAGTGGTTGCCAAGGTAGAATTGTTGGTTGCTACGGAGGAGTCAGTGATATCGTACAATGTTCCCCATGGCAATATGAGTACTATAAACCAGGCCCCATGTCTATTATTTTCCTTAGCTGACAAAGTGATATGCCAAATTGGTTGCTATGGTAAACAGTCAGGTTGCTATGGATGAGTCAGTTAAACAATACAGTGGTACCCCGAAACACAAATGCGTATTTTGCATGTGTTTTATTATCATTTATTACATTAACAATGTGTAGATTTAAGGATTGAAGGAACGTTACTTGATTTTTCTCTGGTTTTCTATTTTTTTATCAACGTGTTAATTTCGTATCTCGGGGTACCACTGTATATTGTTCCCTTTGTCACTATACATTATATAAACCAACCCCACGTCTTATGTCAATATACTAAAGCTGTCTAAAAATGTGGTTGCTAGGGTGAACAGTTTGGTTGCTAGGGAGCTGTCAGTGATGTCATACAAATATTATTTGATGCATGATGCAAGCAATGCAGAATGCAAGAAAGAGACTTGGAGTTCTTTTATAGGAGCTTGTCACTTCCTGTTTGTGATGGACTTCCTGCTTCGTTTCAAAGATGAACCAAAAGCAGAGTTCTAAATATGTTTTATTATATTCCTTAACTCTAGTGTTCCAGGTTCGAGTCTGTGGCTGAGGCTCAGAGGGCTAAATCTGCTCTGAATGGAGCAGAGATCTACTCTGGCTGCTGCACGCTCAAAATTGAGTACGCTCGGGTAAAGCTGCAGCGCTCACACTCACTCGCTCGTACACACGCGCACGCATACCCTCTCTCACACTCACACACACCCTCAGTGCCGGAGCTCACGTACACTCAGCCACTCATACACACACACACACACATGCAGTGTGCTCTCTCGTTCTAGCCCACACGCCTCAACGTCATCCGAAACAACAAAGATGCCTGGGACTACACCAAACCCTTCCTCGGAAACACAGGTAGTGCACTTCAGAGTGAGGTTCTGTACAGATGCCCAATATTTTAGTAACGTCTCTAAAGTTTAGGAGCACAGGGAGACTAATGAGCTGCTACTGCTGTGTATTTAATAATTATGGAATGTATTTTGATAAAATGTTGGTTGTTATTAAGCTCCTTTATGTTGCTTGGTTAAAATAATCTAGCAAATAAAAGTTAGTAAATGTGTTAAAATGTAAAACAAGTTTCTCAAATTAGTTAATTTCGGTCCCATTTTTTTTCTTCACTGGGAACTATTTCTCTGTCACTGCAGGGACGATAATTAACAGCGCACACTGCTCAGAATTGCTCATTTAGCGTGTGTTTATTCCTTACCGAGGCTCTAGTTTGTGATTCTTTGTGTATTGCAGGGTTTCGGCAGCATCTTAAAGTCTAAAATGTAAAAACCCGTTCATTCATAAATTATTTTTGTTGATTTAAATTGTTTTCCTTAGTTTTTTGTTTCGCTAAGGTAGACATAGACACAGGTGGAGCTGTAATTAAAAATATAAATGGGGATATAAATAGATACAGGTTGATCTGTAATAAACGAGTACATTTGTATCTAAAGATACAGGTAGCTGATGTTACAGGAAGATATAGATACAAGTAGATCTGTAATTAAAGGGTTGAATAAACGAGTAGATCTGGAGATATAGGTATGGATAGATCTGGTTGATTGGTTGATCTGAAGCTAAAAGTACAGGTAGATATAGATACAGGTAGCTGATATGACAGATAAAGGTAAATAAATATATATACTCTAGGGGTGTAACGGTTCACGGGGATGTATTGAACCGTTTCGGTACGGCCTGTTCGGTTCGGTACACTTGCGTACCGTTTCGGTATTCGGTATTTGTATTAAATAATATAAATGTATTATTAGCGCGATATTAAGCGCAGCAGAAAAATGTTCCTAGGCGAGTTTCCGCATGGACGCTATTGAGTGACGTGCAGCTCTATTCTTAAATTGTCTTGTTGGTTTAATTGTTGTATATTTGTTGGGTTGTAGATTTTCAATAATACAAATATAATTCTCCGTATTACGGCTGGCTACACATGAGACCTATGTACCCACACCCCCCCAAAAATTGTTGGGGGGAACTCTGGCACCAGGTGAAAGGGTGCTAGACTCATTTGAATGTTTGCTACTAGGGACATTGCACCGTAGCATGATTTTTGATGAACACAGTGTTTAATGTTTTGTTTTTGTTGTGGTAGAGCGTGGTAAAGGCCGTCCACGGCAAGCGATTCTGGGTGAACACCCGTCATCATATGGCAACAACGGATACGGTTAGTGCTCAGCCATGTGATCACACACATAGACCACGTTTCATTTACAATTTGTACCATTTTACATTTTATTATGTCACTAATCCCTCCATAGCAACCAAACAGTTTACCCTAGCAACCAAATTTTCAAACTAAAACTTTTTCAAAATTTTAATATGGTGACCATTTTTGTTTTTCTAAAAATGTTTCTTGCATTTAAGTCTAGTGCATCTGCTCGAGGGGGCCCCCTTGTGGCTACAAAACCTTTAGCAGCTTAATTGGTAGACACAATTTTGAAAACCAGGCCGGCATGCATCACAAAACATAGTGTAGGAACCTTCTTTGGCTAAAGCTTTTCCAACTTATTTTTTTTTTTAAACTCAGTCGCAGAATCGCAGCCTGCAGGTGTAGATTATATCTTTTTTATCGAACTCCTTTCATCTGAGCTTTTCAAATATAAAACATCCCACTCTCTTTTTGCTTTCAGGCTCTTCCTGCCCTCTACTTCCTTTCCCCCCTGGAGGAGGAGGAGGAGGTGGAATGGGTGGTGGTGGCGGTGGTTACAGCAGCAGAGGAGGAATGGGTTACAAGCGCTCGGCTATGGATATGGAACCAGTTCAGTACCCGCTGCCACACTCACGTTCACAAACGCGCTTTAGCTCCCCTGTCGCCATGGTGACCGGCCTCAACCCGCTCCGTA